CTAATAACGTCTTTACTTGACCCTCATTATATTCCATTAAACCTAACATTTTATAGCTTTTTATGAATTTGATTCGACTTATTCTATTCCTATTCTCTGGAGGGTACGGTTGCGCATCAAATGCACAAAAAGGCATAAAATAAAAAAACCGGCATAAGGAAAATATGTATTAAAACCAAAAGTGGACATCATGATAGTGCAAACTGTACACGAGGCATTATACATTGCAAATGAACGTTGTCAGCCTAGGGAGTTTCCTTTATTAATGCATTTATTAGTGATACTTGCACTTACCCATTTCATTACACTTTATTGATTCACCTTAGCACTTTTACTTTTCTAAAAACAGCTTTCAATCCCTTGTAAACGTTGTACTTACCTCAATATTGGTTGGTTATCGTATGCCGACAACCACGGGATGAAAACGAAACGGAGTCGATTTTCCCGCTGAACCTGGAGGACAATTGTACAATTCAATAACTATACAGCCTAGTTCAGACAATGAGTGTATTTACACATATGTCAAATATTTAACTGTTGAAACATTATTAACTTGTAGACAATTTAAGATTTGACATTATAACATACTTGATCGTGCCTGTAAAGCTGGCATGCGTTTTCATGTAAATTTATGTTTATATGAAAATAAAATTATTATTATTATTATTCTTTTCGGGTAGGAGACCAGTTGGTGGTTTATAAATGATGTTCAAGTAACTTTTATCTTTTCATGTGGTGTTGCGGTAAGTTTCTACCTTGTTTTCTCATACTTCATTCGTATGTTCGTTATGGTTCGCCCTTTGTATCAGGTAGACATAGTTCGATCAAATCTTAATTGAATGGGTGTTATTGTCATGACTGCTTCTTTTTTGTCTGGAATTATAAATAGAGGCAAAACAAACAGCAGGTGTAGTCTCTGAGTTCATACATTAAATGGGCCTATGATTTCTGAAACTCTTACATGGGAATTACCACTGGTATCAATTACGAACTCACTTAGTGTGTCATTAAGTGCCTTTTCAAAGGAGGCCAATGTGCTTGCTAGTCGCATTTTCTTAGGTAGTTCGTTCCATATTTGGGCATAACTAATCAAGAAAACTTTTTCCTGGTGGCTGTTTTACATGGTTCTATAACCACTTTACATTCAGTGTGTCTAAGGTTATATCCTGTGTCTCCTGAGAACCGAGTATAGTTAGCAGGGGTATACACTATTTGGTTAAGAAGCTTATAGAAGAGTACCAGATTTAGTCGCAGTCGCCTTAACCATAATGTTTCTAGTCCCAGGATTTCACATCTGGTAGAGTAGTTTGTGCCGTTATCGGTTCCGAGTACTTTTCGCGTGAAGTACCTCTGTACTCCTTCTACTTTCAGTTTGTCTTCTATGCGTGTACTACTAAATATGAATGAACAGTAATCTAGGATTGGGCGCACACAAACCTTGTACAGTAGTATTCTGGATTCGTTTCTGTAGAAGTTCCTGAGTAGGAAACCAATAAGCCTTCGTGATTTCGACACTTGATTCGAGATATGCTCTGAAAATGATAGATTGTGTGAATATTTCAGTCCTAGGTCTAGTACAGATTTGAGTCTGGGGATTTTGTGGCCCTGAATTGTTAGGTTGAGTTCAAGGTTGGAACAGCCTATGCAGAGCCATCCATACTTTTTAACATTAAGCTCAAGTCTCCACGTGTCACACCATCTATCCATTTTTGCTAATTCTTCATGTATGGAGTTCATAGTTGGGCCGATATCTGTATTTGTGCAGGTATATGTCACCTTCAAGTCATCTGCATACAGTATTGGCTTGCCTAAACTAAAACATTCACATATACTGTTTATGTATATAATGAAGAGAAGGGGTCCCAATACACTCCCCCGGATGACGCCACTGCTGATTGGTCTAGGTCTGGAGGTCATTGAGCCAACTTTAGTCGTCTGATTCCTGTCATAGAGAAATGATTTTATTCAATTGTAGAGGGGGTTGCGTATCCCTAGTGAGCATAGCCTACCGACTAACAGACTGTGTGGGACTCTGTCGAAGGCTTTCCTTATATCGAAATAGAGGATAATTACTAGCTCTCTCCTATCTCTTCTATAGGTGACTTCGTTGAAAAAGTCTATATGGCAAGTGACGCAAGATCTTTTCCTGAGGAATCCGTGTTGAGACAGGTTGATGAGTTTATGTTTTAGAAAGTAGTCTGACATTTGGTCCTTGATTACTTTCTCCATGATCCTTGATATGACAGGTGTTATATTGATAGGCCTATAATTACATGCACTAGTTTTGGCCCCTCCTTTATGCTTAGGTAATATATATGTGTTTTTCCAAGTTTCAGGGTAGGTTTCAGTCACTAGTGAGATATCAAATATTCTAAGTAATAATACTATCATATCCGTAATGCAACCATGTGGGCTCTGCACAGATTTATGGGGCATCTTATAAACTAAATTGCTGTCCATTGTGGGATCTTTAAATACCACTTCACAATGTCTTATCCCATTTATTTTCTAATAACGTCTTTACTTGACCCTCATTATATTCCATTAAACCTAACATTTTATAGCTTTTTATGAATTTGATTCGACTTATTCTATTCCTATTCTCTGGAGGGTACGGTTGCGCATTAAATGCACAAAAAGGCATAAAATAAAAAAACCGGCATAAGGAAAATATGTATTAAAACCAAAAGTGGACATCATGATAGTGCAAACTGTACACGAGGCATTATACATTGCAAATGAACGTTGTCAGCCTAGGGAGTTTCCTTTATTAATGCATTTATTAGTGATACTTGCACTTACCCATTTCATTACACTTTATTGATTCACCTTAGCACTTTTACTTTTCTAAAAACAGCTTTCAATCCCTTGTAAACGTTGTACTTACCTCAATATTGGTTGGTTATCGTATGCCGACAACCACGGGATGAAAACGAAACGGAGTCGATTTTCCCGCTGAACCTGGAGGACAATTGTACAATTCAATAACTATACAGCCTAGTTCAGACAATGATTGTATTTACACATATATCAAATATTTAACTGTTGAAACATTATTAACTTGTAGACAATTTAAGATTTGACATTATAACATACTTGATCGTGCCTGTAAAGCTGGCATGCGTTTTCATGTAAATTTATGTTTATATGAAAATATGCATTATTATTATTATGATAAATATAATAAATAAATGTCTATCCCTCTGCGGCCAAGGAAGAATTAGGGATTTCACATACTTCTTTTGTGCACAAATATCTGGCTTAATGTCATTAATTGCCAAGGCCTCAGCTGTCTTCAGAAGTCTGTAACGAAGAAAACGCTGGGAGTTTGCATGAATTCTATATATGACCTTGATATCATGGTCAGGGTTGACCGAGTGACAGGAGTCGATGAGGTGTTCTAAGATAGAGCTTCGCACACATTTTCTTTCTCCCTTGTGAAACCAAGCTGGAACATGTTCTCGTATCCGTGTGGAGAGCATTCTCTGACTACGGCCAATGTACCTTTCTCCACAAGAGCAGGTGAACTGGTAGATGTACATGGAGGCGGTCAGATGGGGGAGCTTATCTTTAACAGAGGTAGAGAACAATTTGCGGCTCGTGAACGTCATATGTAATCTAGCTGCAGGGAACGTTTTACTAACTGATTTAGAAAGACGATTTTTGAGAATATCTGAAGCTTGATCTCCTTTGAATTCCAAGTTCAAGAATAAGGTTTTCTTTGGAACTGAGTCGGTGACCAGTTTAGGCTGCTTATCTTTCATGTTTCTGTCAATAAATCGGCTAGGGTAACCGTTTTCTGCGAGTGTGGCTTTCAGGAAATCAAGTTCTGAGTCGACGCAATCAGAACTACAAATTTTCCTTATCCTAAAGCAGAGTGAATGGATTAAATTCCTTTTCCTAGAAATAGGCACCCGACTGTAAAAATTAGTTAGTTGTCCGTTCCATGTACGTTTTCGATGGATAGATCTTTTGAGAGATCCGTCATTACGTCTGCTGAGGTACACATCAAAAAACGGAATACTTAGTTCAGATTCTTTTTCTATGGTGAATTGTAAAGAAGGATGGCAGTTGTTGAAGGCGAACAAGACATCATCAAGAACTACGTTCTTATCGCAGATGACGAAAGTGTCGTCTACGTATCTTTTATAAATGTCAAAATGCCCGATGGTTTGACTAAGTTGAGAATTTTCCAGCTTTGCCATAAAACAATCAGCCAACAGAGGACCCAATGGTGATCCCATGGCAATGCCATCTCTCTGTTAATTTTTAACCTAGTGCATACAATAATAATAATATATTCTCATTTTGTACATGAGGGACGCCAGTTTACAGGCATCATCAATATAATGAATTACATATACGATTAGTAAGCAAATTTAATAATAATAATTTAATAAAATACACATTTTTCCTACCTGTGTAGGACACACCAAATGAACAGGCATGGATAAGATAGGCATGTGAAGATTAATTACTGTATCTTAGTTTTATTCAAAACAATTCAGCAGCTTGGCATTATTATGCTTAGAATAATTTCGGAAGCAGAACCCATGTAAACTCGTCCACTGAGAGTTTGGCCATGTTGTGAATGACTCTTAAATTCCACGAAAACAAATTAGTGCTCATCCACGCACATCCCATGATGCATTCTTTGGAATATGTGAAAGTCTGACTCACAAAAGATCATTCTTCGCTTCAAACTGATTTATCACTAGTACCTTTCAAGATGGATGGATAGTAAAGTTTTATTGCATCTATTACTACTGCACTTAAACCATCACATGTTTTGACTCCCTTCTGTAATCCCAGAAGTGAAGATAAAATCAATTCTTTCACTTCTTAACAAGAAAATCAAGAGTTTAATTGTGAACTGTAAACCGAAAATTGGGACTAAACCGCCGACTAGAATAGATTTACTACTAACTTATAATTAGACTGACAGCTTTCACTTGCAAATATTGAAAAATGAATGAGTGAACAAACTTTTGTTATAATCGATCACGGCTTCGAGCCGCACACAAAACTAACATTAGAGCGGTCTGATTACTTGAGGTTTTGGAGAACAACATGCCAGCTGAGAAAATCACACATAGTGGAGGTAGCCGCAAAGGAAACGAACATAACGTTCGAGCAAGTAAGTATAGACCCTCAAAACCTGTTCAATTTCTGTTATTTGTATATGAAAATGGTAGCGTTTACGCAAGACCTGAATGAATACATCCGTCTTTTGATGATAGTGTGTATACGTACAGTTAATTATTCGTATGGCTTCTATAAACGAAGCTTAGTAAGTGTCTTCAACTTGTTTGGTGTGTGCCGTTTCGACCTAATTATACATATATCGCTGCATGTCCTGAATACTAAGACAGCACACAAGAAAACGACGCTAAGCACGAAAATATCCCCTACTGTGAGTTCTAGCCTACGTGAAAGCATCAACATACGCAGTGGAAAAGTGAAGGAATAACTTTCTAAGTTGAACAAGCTGGGTGTTATATCTGCCTCGTAGTTTTTAGTTGTTATACTTATGACCACAAAGCAGTACCTGTTGCGCATCCACTGTAGTAGTGTATGCCTTTTACAAGAAACCTCACTACTCTTCTATTATATTAAATGCATTTAAATGTATCAAGACATCTTGACAAAGATGACTTACTTTCAAATCGTGTTGGCTGTTTCGTACACTGATGTCAGTGCTTGAGTTTTGGGATAGTTTTCTGGCTTTATCAATATGATTGCATAGCGGTGACGTGCGCTTCACAGCTTCCTATGTAATACAAACCAGTTCGTTGCATTGTCGGTAACACTAATTAATACCGGTAGTTTTTGGCACAACTAGATACCCGGAGGGTTGACTATTTTACTTCATATGGAGCAACTAGCTCACTTGATAGACTGTAATGGCTGAATTAGGATTAAGTTAAGGCATATCACTTGACCACAATTTCATTGACCATGTATCTAAATTACTTATGGAGGTGTCTGCTTGATTGAGTTCATCTAGATGTAAAGTCTCAAAGGTTAAATATTTAAACAATGCAAAATTTCACACCCTTTTACCCAGACTCTAAAATCCTTCTCCAGCTTTTAGTTAGTTACTCTGCAGTAGAATTTTGTCGTACTATAGTTTCGTATATGTTTACTTTTATGTGCCTTCCTAAAGTGTGACCACTTGGAATACTGTATATTTTTAGCAGTTCTACACTACAAAGGCGACCTTCGACTCTGTGGATCGAATGGTACTATGGCTATGTTTGACTGTGAAGGGAATGCCAAGAAAGTACATTGCACTAATCAAGGCATTCTATTCAAACTCGCGTAGTCGTGTAAGGGCTTATGGGGAATTTTCATCTGAATTGATAACAACCAGTGGTATCCGACAGGGATGTCCACTTTCCCCATTCCTGTTTAACTTCATCATAGATATGCTAATGGAAGTATCCTTAACTGAACGTAGTGACTCAGGAATCGACTTGTTCCCAGGGAATAGTCTTATGGACTTAGAATATGCAGATGACATAGTCCTGTTAGGGGAGGATTCTGACGAAATGCAGAGTCTTCTGAACACTTTGAGCAGCAATCTTCGTATGTTTGGCATGCGATTCGCCCCTGCAAAATGTAAGATGCTGCTACAGGACTGGACTAACGTCAACTCCTAGCTTAGTGATAGGGAGTGAAGTGATAGAACATGTTGACCACTTCACCTATTTGGAAAGTTTTATCAGCACCAACGGACTGATTGGCGACGAAATATCAGTACGGATCCAAAAAACTCGAGCTGCTTTCGCTGACTTACACCATCTCTGGCGTAGGCGTGACATCCGGCTGGCTATCAACCAAGGGACGTGTGTACTGCTCATCAGTTCGCTCCGTCCTTGTCTATGGCTCTGAAACATGGCCAATACGAGTTGAAGACATGAAAAGGTTGACTGCTTTCGATCATAGATGTCTGCGATCTCTTTCTCACGCTAGGTGGTTTAATCAGGTAAGTAATGTTGACATTAGGCGTAGTGTTGGGCAAAGAGGGAAAATCAATTGACGAGGCTATAAAGTTACATAGATTGAGATGGCTAGGTCACGTGTTGCGCATGCCTTACCATCGCCTCCTCCTCCGACGGGCATTACTAGCTGATATAGGTGCAAGTTGAAAAGCCTCAGGATGGTCGGGGGTGGATGCCTTGCGCTGCGGGTTGGCCACCCCTCCGCACACCTCTTGAAATGCTCCCATATGACCGGGCGTCTTACATAGCCTCTCCTGAGGAAGTCCTACTCACTGCCTTCACGTGGCGGAGGTGTTTCTCACCAAAGTAAGAGGGCGAAAGCGGATGCCCGGCGCTCTCCACCGGGTTGACTGTCCATTGGATGACGGTCTAGGGGAGATGGCTAAACCCTGATTCCAAACCTCCAACGACTGGCGTATGAAGCTCACTGGAGCTCACCGGCAGACGTATGGACAAAGGGCTTGTTGGATGTCCTGGATGTCTGGCCCCATTCAAAAAGGCGTATGAACCGAACTCCGGTCACCGGCTGCCAATGGATAGTGGACTCCTTACTCCACTCCTACTACCTTGTAGGTCACACTTGGCTGTGTAAAGGCTAGAGCTGCACTCTCAAACAAAAGGCCGAGCGATGCTGGGGACATCACTCGTACCAAATTCCCATGAAACTTCATGAACTCTCTTACAAATTGCCGCGCCTGGGCAGCGATGATTCGAGACGTTCATGAAGCCGGCTCATCCTCCCGTAGGAGATAGCCGAAGTAAAGTAAAAAGTAAGTAAGTTGAAAAGGAGTAAGTGGTGGCCAAACAAAAACATGGCCTCATCAATCCATGAAATCCTCGACAGTTAAACTGAGTCAGGTAGGGAGGGATATGAAGACTTCCGGGTTGGGGCCCTCGGGACTGACTCTAGGAATCAATGACTGGAGACAATAGGTGACATGGCTCAAAATCGTTGCCAATGACGCAGATGTATTCAGTCTCTGTAATCTTTCATATTCCTTTCTACCATTACCCTTTCTGTTTCGTTCTTATACCTGTCAAACTCTATTAATTCTGTTCACTCATCTTCTTGTCTACCTTTGTGTGCTATTTGGAACGTGGCAACTGGAACTGCTGCACTTAGGTACCGAGTTCTATGTTGAATCCAGACAGACGTCATTCACTCTGAACAACGTCTGAAAGTGACAGTAACCTTTAACGTGGTAGTGTGAGGCTAACCGAGTACACAGCTGTGTAGACGTAAGTGGTCATAACTACTCTACTAAGTTAGTAGACTGAACAAGAAGCACATTCAAGTCACCCTAACCTGTACTCGTGATTATCCGCGTCTTTCATGTGTTTAAAATCTCTTACAAATGAGCATTCGAGAGCTCATTCATATGTTGCAAATTTGAATCACATAAAACTTTGTGGCATTCGGCCCTAACTCTAGTGATAGGAATTTACCTGTTACCATGGGACAGTCTCGTTGGCTTGGAATGTACAGATGATATCGTTCTTCTATGTGAAGGTGCTGACAAACTGCTGTTTGTTACACATCTTGAGCAGAAATCTTAGTATGAATGACCAGCGATTCACCCCTATCAGACGTAAAATGATGTAGCTGAATCGGTCTGCACTGACCCCTAATATGAAGAAGTATGAACTGAAGCAGTTAAGCATGTTTAAAAATTCACTTGTTTGGAAAGTCCTGTCGGTCCTAACGGACTGAAACCTCAGCACGGATACGAAAGGTTCTGGCTTAGAGATGATATGCGGCTCATGCCGAGTCGTCGCCTTCATCGATGGGCGGTGTTAGCCAACTTTAGGTTGTATATAGTTAAGGGTAGTCAGGTCAGAACTTATTATCAATCTATGAACTCTGACTATTGGTTTGAGCTAACCACATGTGAAAGTATGGGCCATATAGTTTAGATCTTCTAGATTCTAAAAGCTAATGGTCTGAAACTGTCGGTGGAACGGCTCAAAATCGTTCTGAACGACGCGCATATGTATTCTCGCTTTGTAGCTTTCAGACTCATCAAATCCTTATTATTCCCCAGTATATTTCCGTTTATCATGGTTGCATCGAATTTTTGCTGTAGCTTTGTGCTATATGGGGTGTGGCAACTTGAATTACTACTCTTGTGTACAATGCTCTAAGTTGGTAACACAGTCAGGTACTCCACTTTGGTTGATGTGCTCAAAACACTATGAATCATTTGTATGTGTATTCATTCCTTATCGTCATCCAGATTCTCAAACTGGTGACTCACCATTGTTCAATTATTCCCTTTTACACATCCCTCCATGATCGTTTCGTTAAATTTCGTTCGTCTGCTAATGTTTCCTTTCCTGTAATGTTAAAACCTAAAATGTGCGAAGTTCAACGTTGTGTTTATCAGTCACTAACAAGACTCAACTTAGGGGTCTTGGCGACTAGTACCTATCATACAGCATGACTAACAAACACCCTATCAAATCGCTAGTTATGGCCGATGTCGATATGTTATGCAGGTAGTGCCACTGTCGACCAGTGTCATCAATGGGTCTCCATCTGGTAAGCCCCACCATTCACAAGAAATTGTTTCAAAAGCCAATGTTTGTTAGTCTTTGCATATTCTGCCTTCGAATGCAACATTCCAAACTAATGTATGACCACATAATCTCTTGATACATATATAAAGATTGTGTTTATACATGACTAAAATGCAGACAAAGTGCGGAGTCTTCTGAACACCTTGAGCTGCAATCTACGAATGTTTGGCATGCGATTCGCTCCCTCCAAATGCAAGATGATATTACAGGACTGGCTGGACTACACTGACTCCTAGTTTAGAAATAGGGAGTGATGTGGTAGAGCATGTTGACCGCTTCACTTACTTGGGAAGTACCATCAGCCAACACCAACGGCTTGACAAAATCTCACCACGGATACAGAGGGCTAGTTTTGTATACGCCAGTTTACTCCGTCTCTGGCGTAGACGTGATATCTGGCTATCGACCAAAGGACATGTGTGCTGCTCAGAAGTTCGCTCCATCCTATATGGCTGTGAGATGTGGCCATTGAGAGTGGAAGACATGAAAAGGCCGGCTAGCTGCCCTTGATCATAGGTGCCTGCGTTCTCTCTCCCGTGTGAAGTGGTATAATAAGGTGAGCAATATTGAGGTTAGTCATCGGTCGAGTGCTATGTAAGGAGGTGAAATCAATAGACGAGACTGAGGCTACATAGACTGAGATGGTTATGACATGTGGTACGCATGTCTCCCTAGCCATCGCCTTCCTCGACAACGGGCGATGTTAGCTGGCATAGGGTCAGGCTGGGAAAGATCTAGCAGTGGTTAAAGCAAAACATGACTTCATCAGTCGATGAAATCCACAACAGTTAGTCCCCGAGCGATGCTGGGGACATCACTCGTACCAAATTCCCATGAAACTTCATGAACTCTCTTACAAATTGCCGCGCCTGGGCAGCGATGATTCGAGACGTTCATGAAGCCGGCTCATCCTCCCGTAGGAGATAGCCGAAGTAAAGTAAAGTAAGTAAGTTAGTCTAAGTTAGCCACGTAGGAATGTGTAGACTTCCTGACTAGTTGGGTCCTCAGGAGGGTAAAAACCAGTAGTTGGAAACAAATGGTGATATGGCTCAAAATCGTTCTCAGTGACTGACACAGATGTATCCACTCCTTGTGACTTATGACTTCCAATGAAACTATAATGTTCTTTGTTATTACTATTCCTTTGTCTCACACCTCTGTTAACTGTCTCTATTATGCATTTCTTCTACTTTCTTCTGTTGCTTTGTGTGCTACATGAAGGGAGTGTGGCGACTTGAACTGGTGCACATATGTGCAAAGTTCTATGTCGAAAACAGACCGATAGAGACAAAAGATTTGTTTTATGTTACGAGTAACTAATAGATATAGGAAATTGATAGGTGCATGAAATCGTTAGTGATAATCAATAGAGTAAGCACATGCAAATTAATGTATGGTCATGTCAAAACATAATTACCATTGAATATTCAGTCAGCTATAGATACAGCTGTAAAAGCTGTGAATAAGACAAATCCAAAGGTGAGTAAAAACCACTGGATTTCGACTGCCTCATCCGAACTGATAGATGCTAGAAGACTTATTCCGGCGAGCTCCGAATTCAATGAGGAGCGAAAGCTGCACAAAAGGAAACTTACTAAAAGTCTCCGCAAGGACCGTGAACAGTGGTGGGTGACAAAGGCGAAAGAGATGGAAAAAGCATTGGCGATAGGCAACACTAGGCAACTCTTTAGACTCATCACAGAATCGGGCGGGAGAAGGCAATTCATAAGTGAGACTATTTCTGAGAAAAATGGCTCCTTAATTAGCTCTCAGGATAGACGCCTTGAACGCTGGAAAGAACACTTTGAGGAACAATTTAACTTGCCTACAGCCACACTGAACCTCCCCGCCATCCACCACGTACCCGAATGGGATATAGACACTGGTCCGCCGTCTGTAGGTGAGGTTACAAAAGCTATCAGTAATTTGAAACGAGGCAAAGCGGCAGGACCCGACGGAATTATTCCGGAGGTGTTTAAATATGGGGGTGACATACTAGTTTGTAGATTAACTGAGGTACTAGGCAAAGTCTGGGAATCAGAGACAGTACCATCAGACTGGGGTAAGTCACTTATTATACCGATATTCAAGAAGGGAAACAAGTCCTCGTGTGATAATCATAGGGGGATCAGCCTAACGAACATAGTCTCTAAAATCCTAGGCTCAGTAATCATGCATAGACTAAGCAGAACTCGGGAGGAACAGACAAGGGAAAATCAAGCAGGCTTTAGACCAGGTAGAGGGTGCATAGATCATATCTTCACTCTTCGACAGATTCTAGAACATAGACACACTTTTCGGCGTCCAACAATTGTCATATTTCTTGACTTGAAGGCGGCCTTCGACTCCGTGGACCAAAAGGTACTATGGCAATGTCTGACTGTGAAGGGAGTGCCAAGAAAGTACATTGCACTAATCAAGGCACTCTATTCAAACTCACGTAGTCGTGTAAGGGCTTATGGGGAATTGTCATCTGAATTGGTAACAACCAGTGGTGTCCGACAGGGATGTCCACTTTCCCCATTTCTGTTTAACTTCATCATAGATATGCTAATGGAAGTATCCTTAACTGAACGTAGTGACTTAGGAATCGACTTGTTACCAGGGAATAATCTTATGGACTTAGAATATGCAGATGACATAGTCCTGTTAGGGGAGGATGCTGACAAAATGCAGAGTCTTCTGAACACCTTGAGCAGCAATCTTCGTATGTTTGGCATGCGATTCGCCCCTGCAAAATGTAAGATGCTGCTACAGGACTGGACACGTCAACTCCTAACTTAGTGATAGGGAGTGAAGTGATAGAACATGTTGACCACTTCACCTACTTGGGAAGTTGTATTAGCACCAACGGACTGATTGGCGATGAAATCTCAGCACGGATCCGAAAAGCTCGAGCTGCTTTCGCTGACTTACACCATCTCTGGCGTAGGCGTGACATCCGGTTATCAACCAAGGGACGTGTGTACTGCTCATCAGTTCGCTCCGTCCTTCTCTATGGCTCTGAAACATGGCCAATACGCGTTGAAGACATGAAAAGGTTGACTGCTTTCGATCATAGATGTCTGCGATCTCTGTCTCACGTTAGGTGGTTTCACAAGATAAGTAATGTTGACGTTAGGCGTAGAGTGTTGGGCAAAGAGGGAAAATCAATCGACGAGGTTATAAAGTTACATAGACTAAGATGGCTAGGTCACGTGGTGCGCATGCCTAACCACCGCCTCCCCCGACGGGCATTGTTAGCTGATATAGGTTCAGGTTGGAAAAGAGCCAGTGGTGGCCAAACAAAAACATGGCATCAATCCATGAAATCCTTGACAGTTAAACTGAGTCAGGTAGGGAGATGCAGACTCCCGGGTTGGGGCCCTCGGGACTCTAGGAATCAATGGCTGGAGACAATAGGTGACATGGCTCAAAATCGTTGTCAATGGCGCAGATGTATTCAATCTCTGTAATCTTTCATATTCCTTTCTACCATTACCCATTCTGTTTCACTCTTATATTTGTCAAACTCTATAAATTCTCTTCACTCATCTTCTTGTCTACCTCTGTGCTATTTGGAAGGTGGCAACTCGAACTGCTGCACTTCGACGCCAAGTTCTATGTTGAATCCAGACAGACAGACAGACCATTGAATATCAGGTAAAGTGAAAGTAAGGATGAATAACAGCAATATTGTGAGGAACGGAATAGATTGATGCCAGAATCTCAATAACACAGAGTGCGATGAGTTTCACGGTATTTCTCACTGTGACTTTGAAATGTACTAAATCTCCGTATTTCACGAGTCACATGACAATGAATTCATTATCTACAGTGAAATTACACGTGTAACCAAAACCACTAAAACCAAACCTCATTATTTGCACAAAAGCCTGAGTTCTAGAAAGGTTGTGGATTCCACTGAAATTCACGTTATTACAAACAATAAGAATCGGGATCGGAAACTCGCAATTGTATTCGCATGAATTGATGTATTAATTTTAATAGATCGTGTATTAAGCTTTTATTTATAGTGTATCTGGACAACTGTGTTCCCAAGCCATTTTTTAGATGTCACCAGTAGTCATATTGCTTAAATTTTTGAACTGTTTCGTCCAACTGAAAAAAACATCAGTTAGAAAAAGGAAAAGGCGTGATACTTGTCGTTATCCTTCCATAGTCTCCACGTACGCACCGACAGACTGTCCTTCACCACCACTAGATCCTGTACTTGATATTCTTGTCAGCGACTCTAGCTGGCGAATAAGAGCAAGATGCCAGTATATGATGATCGTCTTATGGATTGAAGTGGTATTAATTTTCAAGTAGAGAAGCTAAGCCAGTTGAAAAACATATCGGTAGTATATATGAAGTCTCATGTGGAGGAAATGACCACTACCCTGGTTAGAAACTGTTTGACCTGACATCAAGTCAACGACGGAAACAGTTAAATCGCCAACTATTGGAAGAAAAGGATGGTGCAAGACTACTGCTCGTTTCATGCAGTAGTTCATGAGTTTGTATTTCTGTGACTAAACGAAAATAGCTAACGACTGAAATGTTGCATGGCAACATAGAATGGGAAGAATCTTACTGAAGGTAGTGGTGAACTGTGCAAGGTCTTAAGTCTCAGTACATCATATTTCACGTAGAGATCAGGTTTATTCTACTGCGGTATTATTATCTTACACCGATAATTTGGTAGTTCTCCAGGAATGAGTTTTCATCTACAGAGCTTCCATCAGCTTTGTGTTTACGGTATTTGTCACACTGTTAACCTACTCTGAATGATATTCTTGCCTATGTGTCGATTTAATAATTGTTGGTGTTCTTAAAGTATTCCGCCTTGCTTGCACTATGAATTTTCTTGATATTAAAATTGGTATTCAGGGACTGTAGTAGAGTATAACCACATAATAGAGTAATTTTATTCGATTTAGGACAAACATGGTATTATTCACTCGTCAGTTGATGAACAGTACTGTTTGTTCTCTATTCAATGTGTCCCTTTTATCTCGAGAATTGTTATGTATTCTGTCTTAAAGGAATATCTCTGCCAATGTCACCTAAGCCGCCTAGTCGAGTATGAACTTATCTTAACGGTAACATGGAATAACCCTGTCCTATACAATCTTATTTCATGCTTAATGATTTTTTAAAAATTCCCCTGTATACCGTAACATAGTTGGTTAGTAACTTAATTTATCTCTTTCTGTCATAATTTCTCTGTAGGCATGGAACAGACAAATACAATTGCAGATGACAACAACAGTACCACTATGATCCCCCATACAAATACAGATTCTAATCCAGGGAACTCTGTTGTTGACCAAGATAACAAGACAGAATGTATATATTGCTCCGAGAATACAGAGTGTGAGTCAGGTCAACGATCTTGTCAGCATTGGACTCAAGTGCGCTCATTTAATAATAGACAAGCACAAAAGAAAAAACTCAGAGGACTTCAGAATGGTCACCCTGAACCTTCTCGTTATAGCAGTAGTCGAAATACTAAAGAAAGCATGAATATGCAACGTCATATTGCTAATAGTAATTCAACTGACGGACTTAGTATGCGCGATGCAGCTGAATCCAATCCACCCAATACAACTTCACGCTTCAAATGTGATCGACCTTTGCCTTCAAATAATAATAGGAATATGTCACAGTCTAATACGGAAACAACAAAGTCTGTGGCTTCAAATTCATCCTCTCCAGCTCCTTCCGTTTCTTCAGACCTTCCAAATGGACATGAATATGGTGATAATAGAACATTCCCGAGATATGCACATAAGTCATCACGTTCATTTCGATCTGTTAATCAAAGTGTAGACGCAGAAGACATAAACACTCCACGCTCAAATAATTCTCCTGTCACTACTGGTGGTGGTGGTGGTGGTGCCAACATGAGGAATCGACCTAACATGAATCGATCTAGTGTAAATATGCCACCTCAGTCTGGGCCAGCCACCAATGCTCATCAAAATGGTCCATGTGATCAATGGCGACGTCCTAGTAATAATGGGAGTTGGAGAAGATCACATCATACTCTTCCTTTTGCACCTCGCAATTCTAACCAGTTTCATCGTTACAATGGACCTGGAAATCATCCTGTTCGACCACATCAGAACAATTTCTCACGGAATCGTATTTCTGGTCCTGGAATGGGAGACTCGCCCCCCACGCAAACAGCAGGCGATTCTCCAAATCATGCTTCCAACGAGTCGAACCCACCACCACCACCACCTGATAATAAGAAACAAGAAAATGTAAAGAAACCACAAACATCTTGGGCTGCAGCAGTCGCTGTAGGAGTCCAATCTGAAGAAAAATTAGGCACGCCTGGAGATAATTCACGAATCCAACTGGTTAACTTCCTTCTAGACCAATGGCGATGTTTTGACCGGAAATCATCCTAATTAACATCCATCCAATCCCACCGCTACCACCACATCCACCATCCCCCCACCACAACTTTTTTTAAAGTATGAATTTTTTTGTACTAACTATTAAATATCCTCCTCTGATATTGTTCTGTGTTGAGAGAGAGATGGGATGTTTACCTATGTGTGTATGTTTGTGTCTATAAGTTAAATAAAAAAAATAGATCGCATGAATTTTGTATAACTGTCATAGATTTAAAGTTTATGTAAAAAACCCCTTTCATATATATACATACATATATAGATTTGTTTTCAAAAACTCTTTTCGTATAATGATACATTTCTCCCCCCTTTTTTTCTTTCTTTCTTTCCTTTCTGTCTTGATCTCTTTTCGCGCGATTAATTTGACTGACTAAAATGAAAAATTTATATTTAAACAAAAATAACTTCTACAAAAGGATCCAGTCTTCGGGTAACATTCCTTATATAATAATACTCTATCACTTACTATTCACTATCACTGTTATTCTTCTTCTTATTATTATTATTACTATTACTATTATTCACTCCCATAAAAGCCCATTGTATAACAAACAGTACAGACGCGTGCGAATACGGCTAGTATTGTTTCTCCAGTAAATTAACTTTTTAAAAAATGCAGGTCTCTTCTTCTTATTCTCCTTCTTTCTCTTCCCCATTCACTTTTTCTTATGATCCTGAGGTAAAAATAAGACACCTTTTTCTCAATATTATATATATATATATATACACGTATATTTTGGCTTTGTATTTTGAACTGCATGGTTGAACATGTTATACATATAATCGCTTTTATTACCATTATTATTATTATTATTACTCATCCCAGAATATGACTCTATTGTGTTTATCTTCTTTTTTTAAAAAATTTTCTGTTCTTTGTGAGAAAACACAATTAATCGAAATTCTCTCTCCCTGTCTCTCTTTCTCTGCTTATATATACATATATGTTTGTGTATTCAAGAGGGGGAGAGAGGTATTCAACAGCTAATCTCTTCTGAAATTTGTTTATTTTAAATTAATTGGATTTTTTACATCACATAGTTCATAGAGGTCTACACTAACACTACGCATAAACAAACACATCCACTTGTACTGCTAAAACCCTTTGAGAAAGTGAGTTTTAACATGTTATGTAACAGAGGAAAAGTGAAAGAGAGAAAGAAAGAAGGGGTAAGGAGGGGTGGACGCATTACATTACATTTACATACATATACATATGCATCTTCTCCTTAGCAATCTTTTGCTTTCTTATTTTTTATGCTGTTTTGTGGTTACATAAAAAGTTGGTAAAATGCCTATTATTATTATTATCATTATCGTTATATTATTATTAAGATACTTCTTTGGTACCATTACTACTACCACTATTACTACTCATGTCTTACCTTTTGTTCTCTAAAGGTATACTTTTATTCGACATACCTTTTGTTGGTTTTTTTCCTGTCCTCTTTCTTTTGTCCTGTCTCTCTCTCTCTCTCTCGCCGTCTTGCTCTCCCTTTGCGAACAGATGTGTTTTTCTTTTTCTTCTTTTTTTTGTGGAAAATTCAGATATTTGGATAACTGTCTTTGTTTTTCCTCTTTTTTTCTCGCTGATTTATTCCACGGCTTTCATGTGATGCATTCGAAGTACTCGAAAGGGAAAAAGAGAGATACAGTGAGCAGTAGTCACGTCAGATAGGTGGTTTAAGATGATAGCACTATTGTAGAGAGATTATATTCATGCGGGTGATGAAGTCATTGTTTCTTGGCATCACACTCTTAGAAGTGGGTTAGTGTGATTATCCGCCATTTCGAGTAGAGATGTGTTCAAACCAAACCTTAATGAGTCCCTAAGTTTCTTTGGAGATAACCACAAAGGTTTAGCGAAAACAGGTGGACTGTGTTTGTCGTGATGTAATGATGAAGTGAGCTTGGAAGTTATACAAGGGGGAGGGCACCAAGATTAGGCTTGTGAAAGTGTCAGCAAGAGATTGGATTGTAGTAGAGTAAAGACGTGTTAGCTGCTAGCAGTGGAATATACACTGGGGTGAGAGGAAACCTGTGAGTGAGTGTACCAGATAATTAATTGACTTATGCTTTCCAGCACCTACCAGGAACTGATAGTGCTGCTGGCATCTCGAGCCATGGATGTGTGTTGTGTTTTGGAGACACACACGCATACATGACCCGAGTGTGTGGTCATTCACTTAACCTCACCTGGCCAACAAGGTGAACCTGCATAATTCACTCTAAGGGTGTCAGGAGACCCCTCAGCTAGTTCGCGATGACTCGCAGGTGTAGGGATAGCATATTGAGTGTTAGGGTAGGAAAAATCACTTCTTGACTGGATCCCAGTAGATAGTTGTATGTGTGCAGTGCGTTAGAAGATGCAAGGACGGCGTTGCCCTTCGTTGTTTTTTCGTAGTCTCCGCTTACGACCCAACAGACTGCAGTTCGGATGAACTAAAGGATGACTTCTACCTGAAATTGTCTAATTTGCTGCAGAAAGCAAAACGTTCAGGTTTAGTTGTTTTAGCAGGTGACTTCAATGCCCAGACTGAGAAGTATGTAGGTGGTGCATATGAAGTTCCTTGCTGACGAACCGACAATGATGATCGTCTTCTACAGTTCTGTTCAGATAATCATCTGTTCGTAGTCAGCACTAACTTTAGACACAAAGAGAGATGCTGCGTAACTTGGAGACCTCCATCACCAAATCAATGCTGAACTCAGATGGACCACAAAGTGATAGGGTATCGTTGGCGAAGGTCAGTAGAAGACTGCCGATCCTTTTGGAACATCTGCGTTGATTCTGATTCGCGCACGTTTATGCTTACGACTAAACAGACATAAATTGTTGGCAGTGAAGCAGTTACGTCCCCAACTAGATTGAGACACCGAGGTCGACAGCAGCACTTCCCTTGAGGTAGCCTGGTACAACATACAGTTAGCTGTAGACACAGCTGTTAAAAACCTAAAACCAAAAGTTAATAAAAGCTATTAGATCACTGCCGCCTCATCCGTAGTGGTTGACTCAGGAAGACTGATTCTGGCGAGTTCCGATTATGATGACGAGCGAAAGCTACTCAAACGCAAATTAACAGGAAGCCTTCGTAACGACCGTGAACAGTGGTGGACGACAAACGCGAAAGAGATGGAAAAGGCATCGGCGATCGGTAACATCAGACAACTATTTCGACTTATCAGGTAAACAGGTGGTAAAACGCAAATGATAAGTGAAATAATCTCTGAGAAAAATGACCCCATAATAAGCTCCCAGGATAGACGACTGGAACTCTGGAAAGAACATTGAGGAGCAGTTTAATTGGCCCACAGCCACGCTCAACCTTCCGAGCATCCAACACCTCCCTGAATGGGATATAGACACAGGTCCTCCATCCCTAACTGAGGTTACTAAAGTTGTCACCAATCTGAAACTAGGCAAAGCAGCGGGACCTGATGGAATGACTCCAGAGGTATTTAAGTACGGTGGAGACAGCTTACTGTCTGGATTAACTGAGGTACTAGGCAGCGTCTGGAAATCAGAAGAAGTCCCATCGGGTTGGTGTAAGTCACTGATTATCCCGATATACAAGAAGGGAGATAAGTCTTCCTGTGATAATCACAGGGGGATTAGCTTGACTAATATAGTATCTGAATTCCTAGGATCAACAATATTGCGTAGATAAGTGGTGCTCGGGAGGCACAAACACGAGAGAACCAGGCAGGCTTTAGACCAAGAAGAGGGTGTATTGATCATATCTTCACCCTTCGACAGATTCTAGAACATAGGCATTCATACCGGCATCCAACAATCATTATATTTCTTGACCTAAATGCGGAATTCGATTCTGTCGACCGAGAGGTACTCTGGCGATGCTTGGCTGTAAATGGAATTCCAAGAAAATACATCGCACTGATTAAGGTACTCTACTCGAACTCAAGCAGCCAGGTGAGGGCTTACGGCGAGTTGTCATCTGAACTGGTGACGACTAGTGGTGTCCGTCAAGGATGCCCATTATCCCCTTTTCTATTCAACTTCATAGATGTACTAATGGATTTAACCCTAGGTGACTTCAGCGACTCAGAGATTGACTTGCCACCAGGGAATAATCTCGTTGACTTAGAATATGCTGACGATATAGTCCTTCTAGGCGAGGACACTGACAAAATGTAGAGTCTTCTAAACACCTTGAGCTGCAATCTACGAATGTTTGGCATGCGATTCGCTCCCTCCAAATGCAAGATGATATTACAGGACTGGCTGGACTACACTGACTCCTAGTTTAGAAATAGGGAGTGAAGTGGTAGAGCACGTTGACCGCTTCACTTACTTGGGAAGTACCAACACCAACGGGTTGATCGCTGACGAAATCTCACCACGGATACAGAGGGCTAGTTTCGAATACACCAGTTTACTCCGTCTCTGGCGTAAACGTGATATCCGGTTATCGACCAAAGGACATGTGTGCTGCTCAGAAGTTCGCTCTATCCTATATGACTGTGAGATGTGGCCACTGAGAGTGGAAGATATGGAAAGGCTAACTGTCCTTGATCATAGGTGCCTGCGTTCTCTCTCCCGTGTGAAGTGGTATAATAAGGTGAGCAATATTGAGGTTAGGCGTTGGTTGAGTGCTATGTAAGGAGGGGAAAACAATCGACGAGGCTGTGAAGCAGTTATATCGACTGAGATGGTTATGACATGTGGTACACATGTCTCCCTAGCCATCGCCTTCCTCGATAACGGGATATGTTAGCTGATATAGGGTCAGGCTGGGAAAGATCTAGCAGTGGTTAAAGCAAAACATGACTTCATCAGTCGATGAAATCCACAACAGTTAGTCTAAGTTAGCCACGTAGGAAGGTGGAGATCTCCTGGTCCTCGGGACGGTAAAAACCAGTAGTTGGAAACAATTGGTGATATGGCTCAAAATCGTTCTCAATGACTGACACAGATATATCCACTCCTTGTGACTTATGATTTCCAATGAAACTATAATGTTCTTTGTTATTACTATTCCTTTGTCTCACACCTCTGTTAACTGTCTCTATTATGCATTTCTCCTACTTTCTTCTGTTGCTTTGTGTGCTACATGGAAGGGAGTGTGGCGACTTGAACTGGTGCACATATGTGGAAAGTTCTATGTTGAAAACAGCCAGCCAGACAGTGTTGCAAGAGATCCATAGCAGTAATGTCAGTTGTTACATCGGCCACGATAAAATACTGGCGGAAAGATTTGCGCATTTGTGATGAGCGGTGCGTAATTTTTTAGAGATGTTAGTCACAAACGCTCTTCTTTGTTCTAGGCGTGATTATGCTAGCTTCTGCCGCAGCAGCAATCAGGAAGCAGATCCGGGGAATTGTGATCAGTGACATTCGAAGAGTCAACAAAGGAGTGGTTCAACAGAGACTTTATTAGCCATTATGTACCGGCACACATGTTTTTCGACTGCCTAGTGTCAAAAGTGCAGGGACAAGTACACTTTCAAAGAGAATGGATTATCAGATATTGTTTGAAGTTATATTTTGTCTATTATTATTATTATTTCCTTTAATTCCTAGAGGAACATAGGGATTCAGCCGCGCTTCTCCATCGACTTCGGTTCTCTACCAACGTTTTCACCTGTCTCCAAGTCTGACCACATGCTTTTATATCCTCTTCATATCACCTCCTCCAAGTCACCCCACCCACACACTGACGACCAACTGATATACCGCTTCCCATTCAGTCGGGTTCCACTCGAGTGATGGCCTGCATTGCGTGTGATGTCACTTGATGATGATTTGTTTCCTCAGAGTATGGTCAGCCAATCCACCTATCTCCATTTCTTCCTCCCTATTTGTTGCACAATCGGTTCCTACTGAGTTGGTTCGCTCACTGCTGATCTTTACTGATCGACCGGTAATCTGATCTTGAGCGAAGACAGCTAGCTGTTGATGAAGGTCTGTAGTTTGTTTAAGGTGCTCATTGTGACGCTCTGGCCAAGTCTGTGATCCGTGTAGTAAGTAGAACGCACTGACTTCACATTGGAGTTGAAAATCCGGATCTTATTTTCATTTTCATGCTGAGTGATAAGGAGTGGTGTTGACCTCCTGCACACAGACTTGAGAGTAATGAAAGCTCGTCCTGCTTTCTCGATCCTCACTGCTTTGATATCCTCGTCAGTTCCGCCTGTAGTTGAAACGATGCTTCCCAGGTAGGTAGGTGGGTAGGTAGGTGAAGGAGGTTGTTTCTTTCAGGTTCCTCCCATTTGTGCTGGCTGATTGTTGTCTGTTGTTGTTGCTGCTGTGGCTGTTTTTGTTGGCCAGGAATCTTCATCATCTCTGTTTTCTCTATGTTCACCTGAAGTGGTGTCCTACCTTCTCTGGATGCATCTTCAACTGTCAACTTGTTTCTTTTCACTTGCATATCTTCCAGTTTGTGGGAAATCAGATATAAATATATCGGCGAAGTCCAGATCCTTCAAGTCTCTTTTTGTGTGAGTCCATTCTATGCCTGTTTCCTCGCTGCCCGCCACTGTCTGTCGCATTATCCAGTCTACCACAATGAAGAAAATCACTGGCGATAGTAGGCAGGCAGGCAGCCAGCCAGCTTGTCTTATTCCCGTTTTCACTTCGAAGGATTCCTTAAGCTTCCCGTTGTGGATTACTTGACATGCAGCATTGTCGTATAACTGTTGGATGAGATGTAT